CACACATATATCCTATATCAAATTCCTTACCATCTCAGGGAGAGGGGAGGGAGGAAAAGAATTTGGAACTCAAAATTTTTAAAAAGCAAATATTAAAAGTTGTTTTAATATGAATTGAGAAAAATAAAATATTATTAAAAAGAAAAATAAGACCATAAAAAGAAGAAGAAGAAGCATTACCATCTACTTTGCCATTGCACAAAGGACCATAGGGCCTTTCCATCTGACATGCAGCTGAAATTTTCCATATGTTCCCCTTCCATATCTATATCAGGGATAGTTTTGCTTTTCTATGTGTATTCTCCGTGCTTAGCACATTGTTTTGCATATAGTTTACACTTAAATGCTTTTTCATCCATTTCATTCATTCATTTTCATTTTTATAGTGTTCAGCCAGAAGTGACCCTAAAACAAATAGCTGAACTATTATTATTCCTATATAGTGTTCTCTGGACTATTGCACAGGTTGGGAAGAAAACCTGCTTTTTTGTAGTTACATAAACGTACCAGGACGTAAGCTCATCCTCTTGTTCAGGGTTTCTTTGCCTTATTTGTGTCATGGAACTTTTTGTCAGTCTGGTGAAGAATAATGGTTTTAAATACTTAAATAAAATACATAGGATTAAAAAGGAAGCCATCATATTAAAATACAGCTATTAAAATTTTTTTTTAAAAATTCACGAGCCCCCCCCCCAAAAAAAAAGAAAAAAAAATTCACAAGCCCCAAGTTAAGAATTTCCATTCTAGTCTCTAGGTTCGCTAAAAGCATCCTTGGTATTACTCCAGTAGCAGATAGGACAACAGGGATGATATATACCCCTTCTTTGTCCCAGTTAATTTTGATCTTTTTTGATCTCCAGGTCACTATGCTCTGAAAGCTTTTTGTTCTAAGTAGCTTGAAAATTATGATTATTTGAGATGTAATAACTAGTAAAAATGTCATTCTTCAATTTTTCTGAATCAATATTATGTCCAGACAACTGTGATCAAAAGTTCAGTTTGTGATAATGGTTCAGTTCTAATATGATTTGTTGCTTGAGTTCCCTAAGATATTTTGAGGTCTCTATTTGTAGTAGGGGGATTTGTCATTTGTCAAATCATGAAAGATAGCAAGCTTCTGATGCATAATTCTAGTAGCCACCCAGTCATGTCTTAATCGGTATTCGGCAGGTGCTAAATTTTTATAGCCTGCAGTGATAATGATGGTGATGATGGTTTTAAAAGCCCTTCTTAGCTCTGATGTTCTGTGGGGCTCTGAGTTTCAACTAAGAGCTAAAGTCCATTAATGGAATGCTGGTCCGTTACAAAATATCCCACGCAGGATATCACTCTTCAAGGAATTGTGTGGGTGGGAGGAGACAGTTACCACCAACCTTGAAATGTCTGCTACTGGAGGTTATGTGACACCACTCCCCTCCCCTCCAAACACCCCCTATCTCCAGGGTTAAGATATGGTCTGGAACACAGGATTTGATTGGTCTTTTGGATTCCAAACTGCCCCAGTGAGGGAGATTGGCTTCAGCAGATCTGTTTATGAGTTTGTGGCTGACGCCAGGCATCCAGGATCTGAGTATGTGGATGACACACAACTTGTCATGTTGTACCCATTAGGCAGAGGACCACCCTGAAGGTATTTTTCTGGGTCCCTCTCTCTTTCCCCAGCCGTCTCTGGAACCAAAGTCCACACCCACCTTTGATAAGAACAATTGATACCACCATCTTACTATGCCCTCTCATCAGTGTTTCCATCTGTGCTTCATGCCTTTGGGGTGCTTTCTAAGGGGACAGTTGCAGATATTATCCAGTTGGGGGGGGGATGTTCTCTCTCTTACCTACCCGCATCATTCTAAAAAAAAATCAACAGAATTAAAGGGCTTGGTTTGAGTATAAATTCCTGTAGTGCAGATGCCAGAGACGATTTCAGGATATAATCATGTGCTGTCTCTTTCATGTATGTGAGTTTTATCTCCCCGTCTAGACTGTAATCTCTATGAGGGCATGTAACTTAACCTTCTCATAGAATCCTTGATATTAGAACCATAATAGAAATATGTTTCCCCCTTAAAATATCCATCATATACTGCCAGACTAATAATCCACCTTATACTTTGATCTAATCACATCTCTCCTCTCCTCAAAATCCTTCAACTCTCTACTGGATCTAAGGAAAGTTCAAGGTCTTCTTGGCATTCAAGACCCTTCTGAGTGGTACGTGGGTACCGGTACCAGTGAAGACCCCTTAGGACATGACCCCCCCCCCCTTCTTTAGTTGTGTAAGCAGAAATTTCTGAACTATAGTGTATCCTGTTTATCTCATCCTCTAGCTACATGACCTTGTGTAGAAGACTGTCGAAACCATGGGGCCCCAAAAAGGGGAACATGCTGCGATTTCTGTACTCCTTTGTTCTCTTCGTTGCTGGGGAAGATTCACGTGAATAGATTGTGCCCCTGAGGCTCAGCCAATGGGCCAATGGGAAGGGGGTTAGGGTGAGCTATTGTGCTAGGATCTATATAAACCTATTTTGAACAAAGCACTCTTGCACTGTTTGGCTGGTGCCATCTTAGGTGACACAGGAGTGTCCTTTCTCGAAAACGCCAATAAAATAGCTTTCCTTTTTGCAAATTCTTGTCAAGACTCTGATTCAAATTTTGAGTAGGTGGTCTCTATCCCACATACTACCCCAACCAGCCTGAGCTCATATTACTACCTTCCACATATTCTGTGCATTGGCCAAACTGGACAACCTCTGTTTTCCAGGAAATGCCTTGCATTATCCCACCTTCATGTCTTTGTTCATGCTCCAGGTCTGGGATGTCATCTTGCCCTGACCTCAAGGACCTTACATTTAATTTGGAGGAGATAATACATACAGGAGAGTGATGGACAGGAAGATATGTTTTGGTCAGGAAAGTCACAGGGATAGAAAGTGTAGCCATAGCACAATGAGTCGTGTTGATTTGACTGCTGCTCCCAGAGCTAAAAATAAAAAGTTAATAGGCAGGAAAAGGAGATAGATGCCCATAGCACCCTGGCATTAAGATGATTATGGCACAGCAGCATGGTGGGTATGAATCAAATTAGTTATGCTGACCAATCAGAAGCCTAGAGGTTCAGGACAGAAGGGATAAAAAATATATTATTTCTTCTAACTCTAATAGGATCTCTGACTTATGAAAAGATCGGCTTGCATAAGAATACAAAATTTTAGAGCAACATAACCCATTCATTTTACATAGGAGGAACTTGAAACTTGGACAGAAAGTGACTTTGCTAATGTCACATAGAGCAAATTAGTGTTAGAACTGGGACTAGATAGAGCCTGGGTCTTCTGATTCATTGGAGATTAATGATAACTGATGTGGATATACGTCACCTGGGACTGAAATAATTCACTTTTTGTGGTATAAGGAGCCAAGACCCAGGAGTAATAAGGCTATGGATTTGAGGCAGTGTAGTTCTATGGAAAGAGGAGTGGCAATGGAGTCAGAGAACCAGGATTCAAATTCTACCTTTACTACTCACACACATTTGACCTTGGGCAAGTCGTTTTTCCCTCTGTGAGGGGGTTGGGCTGGATGATCTCTAAGGGCCCTAACCAGCTCTAGAGCCCAAGATCCTAATGTAGCAGGGTTTTTGTGTTAACTGTCTCAGGGAGGGAGGAAGGAGGGAGAGAGGGATAGAATTTGGAACTCAAAACTTTAAAAAAAAGAGCAAATGTTAAAATGTGTTTTTACATGTAATTGGGAAAAATAAAATATTATTTAAAAATAAAATATTTTTTAAAAATAAAATAATGCTTCAAAAAAGACGATTTTGGTTTAATTCTATACAGAGGAAGAAGAAGAAAAATCATTTGTAATAACATATTGTTGTTCAGTAATTTCAGTCGTATCTGATTCTTGGTGACCCCCCTTTGGGATTTTCTTGACAAAGATACTACAGTGGTTTGCCATTTCCTCCTCCAGTTCATTTTACAGATGAGGAAACCGAAATAAACATTGTTAAGTGACTTGCCCAGAGTCATACAGCTAATAAATGTCTGAGGTTGGATGTGAACTCAAGTCTTCCTGATTCCAGGCCCTGTGCTCTATCTACTACTCCATCTAGCTGCCCCATATGAACATGATTGTACTTTAAGTTTTACAACGCATTTTCCTCACAATAAACTTAGCTAATAAGTGATAGAGTCAAGATTCCTATTCAGCATTGTTCTTTCTGCTATAACACACTGGGATCTGAATTATTCTGCTTTATCCTAGAGGTCAGAATTAGGACTAATAGATAAAAATTTCAGAGAGGCTACTTAAGTGCATGGTAAGGAAAAACATCTTAATCATTGCTGTATGGTAGAGGAATAAGCTGCCTTGGTAGGCAGTGAACTCTTCCATCACCAGATATGTTCTGGGAGATGCTGCATTCCTACTTATTGGCGATGTTGAAAAAGAGATTTCTGTACAAGTTGGACAAGATGACCTCTGAAGTCCTTTCTAGCTATAAGAATCTATGGTTTTATTTGTATGATTCATGTATTCTATGCTTTAGCCAAATTGGATTAACTCATTGTCCCCGGAACATAGCCTATACTTTTCCTCTTCCTCACCTTTTCTCATAGGTTCCCTAGACTGGGAATGTCTTCCCCTTCCTCTGCCTGTTGACATGTTACCCAACCTTCAAGGCTCAGCTCAAATAACGGTTCATTAAAAATCTTCCTCCATCCCTTCCTTAGCTGTGTTTTTTCCTTCCTTAGATCTCATAGCATTCATTATGTGCCAATGATATGCTATTTTGTTTTTTCTTCATCTGTGCTCATATCATCTGTCCCTCTGCTAGATAAGAATCTTCTTGAGAGTAGGAACTATCTCATACATATTTATATACCTCTTAGAGTGGAGCACTAAGGGTGTATATATAGTAAGACATTGGGTGAAAAGGTCTGTTGACCTCTCCCATGGTTCACATTTGCAGACATTGGGTCAACTATAACTTTCAAAAATGCTTTATTATTGTCATGGCAAAATATCCTTACGAAGAGTCAGCATAGTTCAATGCAACCACACGCTTGTGATGAAGAATACATCCAGTGACGTCCAGAGGCAGAGCAGGGCCAGGCGGATTCCTCATGGCTTACTCAGGCATCAGTGGCAGAGGTTACTTTCTTGGGAGGCCATATCTTGTCATTGATCCAATCCACATAGTTGGTCACTCGAGTATAAACGCCCGGCTTGTAGAACCTGCCACAGCCATCGCCCCAGCTGATGATCCCATATAGGTAAGAAACCCCATTCTTTTCACAGGCTAGGGGCCCGCCTGAGTCACCCTGTGTTGGTTAGAGACCAACAGTGAATCGTCTTAACTTCAGGGGATGGTTACATTTCATATAGAAGGTTGGGGAAGGTGGGAAGATAAGCATAACTCTGGACAGTCAGTCAAGTGTTCTGGGTTCTAGTTCTTCTTCTGCCTCAAATGATACTAGTCACTACAATCTCACTCTTGCCTGAGATTTACCGAATTCCCAACCAGGATAAAAGTAAATACAGCTAAGTCCCGATTCGTGTGAATAATGAATCCTCTGAAATAGTCTCTCATGTATTCAAATTTGTTATTTAAAGTTATAATTATGCAAATATGATAATTACTTCTAGTCCATTAGGAAAAAAAGCAATGTGAATTCAAATAATGTAACCATTTCAGAAGATTCATTATTTGCACTAATTGGGACCCAGATGTACTACATAAATCTAAACATACATACAAACATATATACATTCACAAACATACACACACACACACACACACACACACACACACACACACACATATATATATATACACACTCATACACAGCCCACTCCCTCCATCATTACAAGATGCATGCATCAGCCTAATAAACTCATTTACCCTGGTTTCAAAGGCTTCCTCTTTTACGGAAAAAATGCATTTTAAAAGATGAGTCTATTTAACCCAAAGGAATGAAGCTCTAATGATGGAATTTCAGTGACCAATAGATGAAATACACAATTCTTCCCCTTCCTCATTTCCATGGAGGCAGGTCTTGCTTCAACATAAGAAAATTTTGTTAACAAGCAAAACTGTTCAATAGCAATGCAGTAACAGTTCACATTTACATAGAGCCTTACTGTTCACAAAGTGAATATTAATTATATTACTAATAATATAATAATATTCTTTTTGTTTTGTAGGTGATGAAATTGAGAGAGACAGGTTCAGTAATTTGCCCCATGGTAACACAGCTGGTGAGTGTCAAAGCCTAGACTTGGATTCAGGTTTGCTGAACTTACATTCGTTTTTTCTGCTGCACAATACTGCCTCTTACTCCACATCAAAAATAGAATGGCTTGCCTCTTGAGGTAGTGAGTGGTTCATTATTGGAGGTGTTCAAGCAAAGGCTGGCTAATGACTTCTTGGGAATGTTTCAGACAGGATTCATACTTCGCAGGGAGATGGTGCTAGAAAAACACTAAGGTCCCTCTGAGCTCACTAATTCCATGATATTGTCATTCAATTCAGATGTACTTGTAATAAGAGATACCTAATCTGCTAAGTATACAGTCTGTGAAAACTTTGCAGTCCTGTTTCAATTATGTTTCATATTCATGAAGCAAGAAGCCATGAAAATATTGTTATTCTTTAATAGCCAAACAAAACCCCTGACTTTTTTTATTCTAAACTCTGACCAGAAATATTGACCTAGACCAGTGACTTAGAACCAAAATTAATGAATGACTAATCCTTAGGGAGGCAGAAGAGCAGAGCATGACGAGTCCTGGACTGAGAATTGGGAGAGTTGGGATTCTGGTCTCTGCTCTCACACTAATTTGAGATGTGACCTTGGGTAAGTCATTGTACCTTTCTGAGCCTCCACTTCTTCCTCTGTAAAATGAGGCAGTTTGAAGAAAATAAGCATTTATTAAGCACCTTCTATGTGCCAGGCATCGTATTAAGTGCTTTATGACTATTTTCTTATTTAATCTTTACAACAACCATGGATTGTTGCTGTTGTAATTTTTCAGTTGTGTCCAGCTCTCTGTGACCCCATCTGGGGTTTTCTTGGCAGAGATACAGGTTTGTCATTTCCTTCTTCAGCTCATATTATAGATGAGGAAACTGAGGTAAACTCGGTTAAGTGTCATACAACTAGTATGTAGTTGTATACTACATACTAGGGTCACACAACTAGTAAGTGTCTGAGGCTGGATTTGAATTCAGGAAGATGAGTCTTCCTTGGTCCAGGTCATGTGCTCTATCCATTGTGCCATCTAGCTGCCCCTGGGAGATAAGTACTATTATGATTCCCATCTTATGGATGAAAAAACTGAGGCAGACAGAAGTTAAGTAACTTGCCCAGGGTCACATAGGTAGTAAGTGTCTGAGGCTGGATTTGAACTCAGGTCTTTCTGACTCCAGGCTTAATGTTCTATCCAAATTGGATTACATGATCTCTGGGCTCCTCTTCAGCCTTGCCATTCTAAGATACGAAGTGTCCTGTTGTAACAACCCTTCTCCCCCAGGGGACGGCAGGAAGAGAGCACTATGATATCATGCTATCAGAATGGCCCGATGATCCCAGCAGGCTCTAAGGATGGAGAGGGCCCAGAATTCTAGAACACTTAGTAAACACTACATTCTCTGTTTGGAGCTTAATGGGCCAAATCTGAAACAGGTGCTCCTGGGGGAGGAGAGGCAGTAATGAGCTATCAAGCAGCTCTTGGAGTCACGAGATGGGGTATTAGGTTAGTTTCCTGCTTAATGGAGCTGGGAAGGCTTAAGTGGAGCCTCAAAACCTTGCTTTATTATGCCTTATAATGGTCTGTAATTGAATTGAACCTCCTTTCTTCGGAACTCATCTCCCTGGAAGCTAATGACAACAGATTCAAAATTGGATAAATATCTTCGCATAGAGAGGGGTATGGGAATCACAATGGTCTGGGAGATAAGAAGGATAATTCTGAATCCCAGCCCTGCTTCTCTCCCAACTGAGATTTGGACTAGAATGGTCTGTGAGGTCCTTTCCAGCTCTGATACTCTTTCTGTATTCTAAGGCTCCTTCCAGCTCCAATAATTCATGTTTTATATTCTAAGGCCCTTTCCGGGCATGATATTCTTTGTTCTAACATTAGTTCCATCTTCCATTAGTTCAGGCCTCTCTAGACAAAGAAGTTGGCCTGCTGGATTTCTCTCCTGGAGATCTCATATGCATCTCAAATTCAACATTTCCAAAATGGAGCCTGTTATCTTCCCCTCTAAACCTATGCCTTCTTCAAATACCATTATTTCCATTGAGGATGCCACCATCCTCCCAGGTACCCAGGGATCCCAGACTCATGATCTTAGCCATCCTTAATTCTTCTCTCTCCCTCATCCCTCCATACCCCATCCATTGCCAAGTCTTATAAATTCATCTTTCCCAACATCCTTCACACATCCTGTCTTTCCACTCACTTGACTGCCACCTTTATTCAGGCCATTGTCACCTCGTGCCTAGACTATGGTAATAGACTCTTAATTGGTCTCCCTGCTTCTAGTTCCTCTTCTCCCCAATCCACCCTACATACAGTGACCAAAGCAACCTTCCTAAGGCATAAGTGTGATGATATCACTTCCCCTGCTCAAAAACCCTTATTGACTCCCTATTGTCTCTGGGATAGCCTAGCCTGGTATTCAAGGTTCCAGCCTTTCATACTATCTACTCATTTTATAATATTCCCTTTGCAAATTCTATGTTCCACCCAAACAAGACTACTGGCTGTTCTCTTAACTAGATATTCCCATCTCCTACCTTTATATGAATAATCACTGTTCTGTTAGGATTATGGATTTAGAACTAGAGAGAAACGTAAAGATTGTCTAGCTTAACTCCTTTATTTTACAGAGGAAACCGAGGCACTGAGAGCCCCAAATCACCCAGCTAATGAGTAACACAATGGGTCCCCCAGACCAGGTTTCTTGTCCCCCCAGGACAGTGCTCTTCCCACATGATTCGCCCCCTTTGCATTCATTAAGGGCTTCACAGGTATTATTTCATTTTAGACTTTCAATAGTGCTTTGAAATAGGTGATCAGATTAGCTAGTGTTCCAGGCAACGCTGTGGGGAAGACACAGAGGACCAGGAAGTTTTGATAAGGGAAGGTGGTAGGTAAGCCTAGATTTGTGACTATGTCAGAATCTCTGTGCAGCCCAAGAGAAAGAGAGAGTTACTCAGAGGGAAAAAAGAGACACAGAAGAGACAAATGTCATTGACTTGGGCATTTTTCTAAGAAGTAGCCAAGGTCAGCCCTGTCACCGAGATCATTTAAGATGAAGCTGAGATGGTGGAGAGTAGTCACTGTGGAGGAAGGGGGAATGGAGGCATTGAAGAGTCAGGATTCATTTTCAAGTCCCCTGCTACCAATCCAGCCATTTTTCCATTATATCACACAGTCTTCCTCTCATCCCTTTGGCTGAAACAAAACAAATTGAGAATTACCCTTCCCAAGCCTTACCTGACAGGCATCTGATTTGCAGTCGAAGTAACCAGCACAGAACATGTTGGGGGTGATGTCCGCACCATAAACTTCGGGGCTGCTACATTTGTGATCAGGAATGAGAGGAAGCAATGCTTCTCGTAAGTAGCTGGAGTAGCCCGTAACATCTTTTAACGAGAAACCGAGGAAAAAGCTTTCAGTTGGAGTCAGGATTGGGACAACCCTGAAACATCTAGTGGAGCCCTGGCTAGAAACCTCTTTGCTTACATACAAGTCAGAAATGCTGAGGATTTCAGCATAGCCCAGGTACAAACTTGGGATTCTCAGAGAGCTGACTGGAACTTTCTACTTAGGTTTAATCAACGGGAAGGGCAGTACTCAGATGGAATGGCCTCTAGCATTCCTTCATCCTCTGTCACTGGCTATCAATCAACATCAAGGCTGCAGCCATGCAGCAGCTATCAATGGAACCCATAACTGATGGTCAGGATGCTGATTGACTGCTCTGCAAGACAGTGATACGTGTAGAAAGAAAAAGGCAAGCAATGTCTCTGATAAAGGTCTCATTTCTAAAATATATAGAGAATTGAGTCAAATCTATAAGAATATAAGTCATTCCCCGATAGATAAATGGTCAAAGGTTATGAACAGGCAGTTTTTAGAGGAAGAAATTAAAGCTATTTATAGTCATATGAAAAAATGTTCTAAATCACTATTGATTAAAGAAATACAAATTAAAACAACCCAGGTACCACATCACACCTATCAGATTGGCTAACATGACAAAACAAGAAAATGATAAATGTTGGAGAAGATGTGGGAAAATTGGAACACTAATGCATTGTTGGTGGAGTTGTGAAATGATCCAACCATTTTGGAGAGCAATTTGGAACTATGCCCAAAGGACTATAAAAATGTGCATACCCTTTGACCCTGCAATAGCATTTCTAGGACTATATCCCAAAAAGATCATACAAATGGGAAAAGGACCCACATGTACAAAAATATTTATAGCAGCCCTTTTTGTGGTGGCAAAGAATTGGAAATTGAAAGGATGCCCATCAATTGTGGAATGACTGAACAAGTTGTGGTATATGAATGTAATGGAATACTATTGTGCTTTAAGAAATGATGAGCAGGCAGACTTAGAAAAACCTGGAAAGACTTGTATGGACTGATGCTGAGTGAAGTGAGCAGAACCAGGAGAATGTTGTATGCAGTAACAGTCATGTTGTGTGATGACTAACGTTGATAAACATAGCACTTCTCAGAAATACAAGGATCTAAGACATCTCCAAAAGTCTCATGCTGGAAAATGCTATCCACATCCAAAGAAAGAACTATAGAGTTTGAATGCAGATCAAAGCATACTATTTGCTATTTTTTTCTTCTGTTTTGTTTTGTTTCCTATTTCTTGTGGTTCCTCCTATTGGTTCTAATTCTTCCTTTCAACATGACTAATGTGAAAATATGTTTAATAGGAATGTATATGTATAGCCTATATCAGATTGCAAGCCATCTTGGGTATGGAGATGGAGTGTGAAGGCGAGAAAAATTTAAAACCCAAAAGCTTATGGAAGTTATTGTTGATAAATCTAAATAAATTAATTTAAAAAATTTAAAAAAAAGAAATGGTTAGTAGGCAGACTTCAGAAAAATCTGGAAAGACTTGCATGAAGTGATGCTAAGTGAAGTGAGCAGAACCAGGAGAACATTGCACGCAGTAACAGCAACAGTGTGTGTTAATCGATTTTGTTAGACTTGACTCTTCTGAGCAATGCAATGATCTAAGACAATTCCAAATGCTATCCACATCCAGAGAAAGAACTATGGAGTCTGAATGCAGATCGAAATATATTATTTCCTCTTTCTTTTGTGGTTTTTTGTTTTTTCTTTCTCATGGTTTTTCCCTTTTGTTCTGATTCTTCTTTAACAACGTGACTAATGTGGAAATATGTTTAATATGATCATGTATACATGTATAGCCTACATCACATTGCATGCTGTCTTGGGGAGGGGAAGTGGAGGGAGGGGGGAAAATTTAGAACTCAAAATCTTATAAAAGTGAATGTTGAAAACTAAAAACAAATAAATAGATTTTTAAAAAAGAAAGGGATAGGCATGGTCTCCTCCTCTTCCATTTTTTTCAGAATCAGTATCCTTTGCTGATTCATTATTGCTATGTACTACAAAGTTCCATTCTGGGACTTTTTCTCTATTTCGGTTACTTGATCTTTCATTGGAGATGGATAAATTATTCTCTCTCTCTCTCTCATGTGCTGTTGTTCAAGTCACTTTTCAGTCATGTCTGACTCTTCATGATCCCATTTGGGGTTTTCTTGAAAGGTACAAGAGTGGTTTGCCATTTCCCTGTCCAATTATAAGAAGAATCCCATAACTATTTCTAAGGCTTTCTCTGTATATAGTCCCTAACAACAGCCCTGGTTGTAACATTTGCACAGTGTGGGAAATCCTGAGGACAATCCAACAAAAAGACCCGCAGCTCAGAGGAAAAGGTCCCCTGGCTTGGTGGGTCTGGGCCAATAGAGAGATGAGCTAGGAGCCCCCAGCACTGGTAGTCAACAGGAGACTCACTCTCATACATGTGTCCCCATCCTGCAATCTGGCATTTGTGATTGTCAGGAAAGGTGATGCCATTGTCCGGGAGGCAGATGGGCTGGACAAACTGGGACTTTGTAGCACAGCGATCACCCTTCTTCTTCAGCCTAATCAGAGCTGCAGGGAATTGGAGAAGAGAATCAGATTGACCATCACAGAGGCAAGAGTATTTCTGTCCATCACCATCAAGGTTAAAGAACCAAGAAACAATTCCTGGGACTCTATGGCCCTCTTGAAGGAAAAATAACAATATAGGATCATAAGCTCTAGAGATTTGGATGGCATTTTAAAAGCCATCTAGATTCAACCACCTCATTTTACAGATGAGGAAACTGAGGCCCAGAGAGCTTAAGCATCATGACCAGCTTAGTCATTTCTAGGCCTTCTGACTACAAACTGAATGAACTTTTCTTCATGTCACAGACCCAGAAGAGTGGGGAGAAATTATCCATGGTAGAGTCTAAGTAATTGTAAAATCATTCCTCTTCTCCGGAACTTAGTTGGTCATACTACTCATATGCTACCAGAAAGCCGCCACATTTTCTGACCAACTGACTTAACCTCACCTTTCAGCCTTGCCATCTGCCCAGTCATTGCCTTTATGGGACCTCCAGACCTTTCCATCCCCACCCTCCCCGCCCCCCCGAGAGCTTAACATTCTTCTATGTTCAGGTTCCCCTGATTATAGTATGAGTCCTGGAGAGCAGAACTGTTTTGGTTTTTTTCTATTTGTATCATTAGTGCTCAGCACAATGTCAGTACTTAACAAAAGCTTTTTTTGTTCTTGTTACTCATATCATTCAGCATTATTTTCTGGAGGCAAGTCCTATCTCTCCAAGTAGACTACACATGCCATGGGACAGAGTCACAGGAACTGCTGGGAAATTTGTTGGATTAAATTCCTTCACCCAACATTGAAGGTGTTTGTCGAGCCCCAACTATGTGCTCCAGTTGCTGAGTGGGCATCAAAGACACTAGACTGAATCCTTGTTCACTTCTTATTGGGACTACAATTCACTCACATGGAAAGTTAAATAATACAAGGAAACCATAGGTTAGTGCCATGTGTGATGTGGACATAAAATCCAGTTGGGGTTCAGAAGTCACACACAATTAAGAAATGGCAGAACCAAGCCCCAGGACTAGGATTTTCTGCTTCCTTCTCTGATGCTTTGTGATGACAATAGCTAACATACAGTGCTTACTATGTCCAGGGCAGCTAGGTGGCACAGTGGATAGGGTGCCAAGCCTGGAGTCAGGAAGAACTGAGTTCAAATCCAGCCTCAGACACTTATAAGCTATGTGACACTGGGCAGGTCAATTAACCCTGTTTGCCTCAGTTTCCCCATCTGTAAAATGAACTAGAAAAGAAAATGGCAAACCACTCCAGGATCTCTATCAAGAAAACCCCACAAAGGGGTCACAAAGAGTCGTACATGACTGAAAACAACTAAACAATAACAAAAATGCCCAGGTACCGTGTAAAGCTCTTTTTATAAATATTACCTCATTTGATCCTCACCACAACCCTGCAAGGTAGGTACTATTATTATCAAACCCATTTTACAGATGAGGAAACTGAGGCAGAAAGAAGCTAAGTGATTTGCCCAGGGTCACATAGCTAGTAAGTATCTGAAGCCAGATGTGGACTTGGGTCTTCCTGACTCCAGATTCAGTGATCTATACACAGTGTGGTCTTGGCTAATTATGGACTTGAGCAGGAAGTATATAAAGGCCCTCCTGGCTCAAGAGGCCCTTGGCTCTGTAACAAAGATGACAGTGTGGATGTGATGCAGAAGGGTTAATTTTCACATCTGTGAAATGGGGATCTTGAACAAATCCTTTAATCTTCTCAACTGTAAAATGAAGGCATTAGACTAGATAACCCCAAACGTTGCTTCTATTTCTGATTCCATGACAACGAATTGTTAACCTGTATCTATGGGGGAATTTTCCACAGCAGGGAGTTCCCCACACCGATGAAATCACAAAACAGGGAGAAAAAACAATTCGTGCTCTGGACTTGGAGTCCGAAGATCATGGTTTCAATCCTCATTCTGCTACACTCGCTGTGTCACCAAATCACCTAATCGTTCTGAGCCTTGATTTTCTCATCTGTAAAATGGGGGCAGCTATTATTGCCTGAATTGGTATTCAAACTCACATGATCTGATTCCAAATCCAGTGCTCTTTCCTCTAAATCGAAGATGCTAGAGGATTTCATGAGTAAAAAGTTGGCCATCCCATGGGGAATCGGTTTTGGCCACAGAAGCTCTCAAAGACCATTGACAAAGGTGTGGAGAGGCCATGACCTTCTTCAATGGAGGAAGCACCCATACTGGCGACATCATGAATCTTTCAGGTTTGGAGGTAGGTATATTACTATTACTGGTACCTGGTGTCTGTTGTCCAGTGTCCTGGTCTATGTTCTATAGCCTCTTTCCCAAATTCTAACCCAGGTTCCTGATCTCCCAATCTTTCCTGATGCCTAAACTGAGGTTCACTGTCTGTGATACCCCTAAGACTCTGGCACCTTCCTTTTCCTTCCTACTTTAACTGAGTCCTCCCGCCTTGACCTCTGGCTCCCCTGACTAGATGTACCCACCAGCCTCCTTCTTTCTCACCAAACTCCCTGCCTCATCCCTCGTTGGTTAGCCCTGGTGTGTGGACATCCAAGGCTGGGCCTGACAACTGGTGCAGAAGAAACCTCAACACACTCACCAAGGTCATGATTGCTGGGGTTGAAGACAGAGTACAATGGATACAGAATGTACTTCTCAATTTCAAATGATTGTGTCACATCTGTGGATGTGTTGAAGAAATGCTGGCCCAGGACAACTGTGACACTTGACTTGGGTGGACTGGAAAACACAGAATAATAACAATAATGAATACCTGGCATTTATTTATAGTTGCAAACCTTTTTTCCACACCCATCATTTAATTTTGTATGTGAGAGGGAGGTGGGGCAGATGTTAACGAATCCATTTTTTCCAGAGGGAAAAAAGTAAGAGGCTGAGATAGAATTTGAACCCAGGTCTCCTGATTACAAGACCAGTGGTTCTACTACATCTATGTATCACAAAGAAGAGCTGTGTGCCTAGTTCTTGGCCCCTAGGAGTCAACCTTTTTCCTAATCATTTGGGAGCAAGTACTGTGGGGATCAAAATGTATGAATCCTCATCCTCACTAACCCCATTGGGAAGGCAGGTCAAGGGCAAAGCTGCACTCTCCAGAACTCAAGGCCCGGCCCACAAAGGACTTATTAAAACTTTCAAACACAAATTCACATATTCACAGATACTCGGAACCCAGAACACTGAATGTCAGAGCTGGACAGAACCTCAGAACCCCATACAGTGTCACATCTGGATGGGTTCTTAGAGCATAGAATGTCAGCTTAGAATTTAGAGCATAGAACGTAAGCAGAACCAGGAAAACAATAGACACAATGCACAATGACTACAACAAGATAAAGAGCAAGAACAGTCTGAATGTTGCAAAGTGATGAACAAAAAACTTGACCCTAAAGGAGAAATAGAAGTCACCTCCTACCAGTCCTCTGCAGGGGTGGTGGGTGGGGATCCACAGGTGTGGAACATTGCATCAAACACCATTTTTAAAAATATATTAGGGGCAGCTAGGTGGCACAGTAGATAGAGCTTTGGCCTTGGAGTCAGGAGGATATGAGTTCAAATCCGGCCTCAGACACTTGACACGTACTAGCTATGTGACCCTAGGCAAGTCACTTAACCCCGATCACCTCACCAAAAATAAATAAATAAAATGTATTGATTGGTTTTGTGAGATTTTTTCCCTCTTCATCTTCTCTTTAATTCTTTAAAAATTTTTGTCATGGGGACGGCTCTTTGGGAAGGGTGAGGAAGACAGATTCAGGAAGAAATTCAGGCAACGTAAAAACAAAAGATATAAATAAAAATCAATTTTTTTTTAGAAAATGAGAGCATAGAATATCAGAACTCAAAAGGGTCTTGGAATATATAATATCAGAGATGGAAGGGACCTTAGAATATATAATGTGACTGTCAGAGCCAGAAGAAACTCCAAATCCTCGAACCGCAGAAAAGAATAGCAACCATTAGATTGATTATATTCAACTTTGATCAATACTTTGAGGCTTGTAAAGAACTTTCTCATGTGAACCACGTGAGGTAGGTGATACAAGTATAATTATTCTTATTTTTCATATAAGGAAACTGAGTTTCGGAGAGGTGAAGCGACCCCCACAAAGCCCCACAACAAATGAGCAAACCACCAGTAGATTACTGAGACAGTGATAAATACTGGATATCAGTGCTATATGTGATCTTTTAGATCCTCAAATCCAACCAACTTGTTTTGAAGACAGACAAGCAGTGACCACATTGAACTAGAACCCAGGTCTCCTGACTCTTCAGCAGAGCACTATTAGCTCAGTGGAGGGAAGATCGCATCATGACCAATGCAAGCATCTGCTTCGTGGAATCAATCAGTGATGTGCTGGTAAATTGGTTTAACAACCAGTTTTCAAATTAAAATATATTCACACTTTTAATTTTCATTAGTAACACTTTTTTCCATCACTTTCTTAAGTCCAGCGTCAATCAACAAAATAACAAATTAAGCCCTGATTTAAATGCTCACATTGAAAATTTAACAATCAGTTCTCTGGAATCTGCAGGAGCTGGTTCCAGCACACCCCCCTCCCCAGATTTCTGACAGATGCCCAACTCCAAGGCCCAGTATAATTCTGTAAGCTATGGCTGTGGGCAGAGTGACTTTGCCACCATGTGGCCATGCCCAAGAACTACAATTTCTCCAGAGTCCTTGTGGGGGATGTACTGTAGGTCATGATTCCCTTCCCTTTGCTATGCCTCTGGAAACATGAATACCAGGAGGCCCCCACCACCCTCACCCTTGCCCCAATTCCTAAGGATTACACTTTCTAGGGTACCTTTCACCACCCTGATATCCATATAAATATCAAAGCTATAAGGAATCTTTTAGACCATCAGATCTAACCATCTTGCCTTGAAAGCAATTAGTGACCACATTGGAAGGTCTCCCAGAATGGAAGTACATCATGGTCCAATCCACCCTAAGGCCTTTTCATGAACATCATTATAGAATCACAGAATCTTAGCTCTGGAAGGAATCCCTAAGAACATTTAGTCTACAAAAGCCAAGTAGAGGTTGACACTGGACATGGAGCCAGATGGTTGATAGATAGACTGAACCAATTCTCATATGACACAGAATCAGAGATTTAGAGCTGGAAGCAAATTTACAAGATATCTATTCCAAGCACCTTATTCTGTAGATGAGAAACTGAGGCCAAAAGGTTAAATGACTTGCTCACAGTTACAAAGATGGTAAGCAGCAGATGCAGGGTTTCAACCTAGAGCCTCCAACTCTGAATCCAACACACTTTCTACTGTATTACATTGATTCTCCATCTAGAGACCATGCATCTTCCAGGCTGGCCTTCTCTAGACTCACTCTGGTTTGTACATGTGCTTCCTAGAATGTGGAAACACCATCATCTCCATTTATCAATGCTCACTGAATTGTTCAGTCATCATATTATTCAGCTATTTCAGTTGTGTCCAACTCTTGGTAACCAACCCCATTTGGGATTTTCTTGGCAAAGATTTCCTTCTCTGACTCATTTTACAGATGAAGAAACTGAGGCAAACAAGGTTAAGCAATTTGCCCAGGGTCATACAAGTAAGTGTCTGAGGACAGATTTGAACTCAAGAAGATGAGTCTTCCTAATTCTGGGCACTATGGTGCCACCTAGCTGCCCTGATAATCAATCATACTTTGCCTCTATATAACACAATTTTTTAAATGTTTTTTTTCCAAAGTTATTATCTTGTATGGTTATTACAGAATTCAGGGAATTCAGCACTTCAGGTATTATTCCTGTTGACAAGAAGGAAAACTGAGACCTAGGAACTAGAATCTTCTTACCTTCCTGTGACATGCAGAGTCCTCACCACTCCTATAAAGTTCTAGACCAAAGCACCTCCCTCTGGCTACCACTCCCCTTTTCCTACTGTTCAAAGAGTTTAGGTCACTTCCTTAAATTCAGAAGGAGGGAGTGACACAAGCATTTATTTAAGTACCTACTGTGTGCCAGGTATTGTGCTAAGCACTTAACAACTATTATTTCATTTGATGGGAATCTATTATGATTCCCCATTTTACAGTTAAAGAAACCAAAGTAGACAAAGGTTAAACGACTTGTCCAGTAAGTGTCTGAATCTAGCAGACCTGGGATTCTAGCTTAGGTCCTCTGACTGCAGATCCAATCCTTTTTCTATATAATGTGAATTCTCTACCATGTTCGTTCCCTTCACTTAGCTTTCTCTTTTTCAAGTCTACCCCCAACACATGGCTGTCCTTACATGGGGGAGAATAAGCATTCTGCTAGAAATTCAGGAAATCTGCCCCCCAAATCTCCCTTCTCCCCACATTTCCATCAGCTGCTGGAGGATCCTTGCTCAAAGAGAAAGTTATTCCCACCCCCAGGAGAACTCAGGCTGTGAACGCTGAGGGGGTTCAAAGCCTTTCCAGAGAATGGGGTTTGATAAGGGGAAGGTGAGAAAACATGAGAAAAAAAGAGGAAGAAGGATACATCGGGCATCAGTTAAGTTTCACCTGAACTGAGCCAGTCTTCATCATCTTTACCATTTTCCCCAAGAACTGGTCTTCCCCAAGGCTATGGGGTAAAAGGATGCGCTTACCTGTTGGAGAAACAATGAGCAGCTGATACCACCCAGCAGGAGTGAATGAGGCTTCCGGCACAGAAGCTCTCCCCAATGTACAAGGCAGCCATCCACGGGTGGGATCCTGGCAAGGAGGATGAGCCTCCAATAATTCGAGGCCTCAGGAACGTCCTCTTCTTGTGCCGCTTCCCACAAGCCCGTCTGTTGGGCTGAGAAATCTCAGGAACCTTGAAAAATTCCAGGTTGGTTCGAGCTCCACTCCTCGGACTGTTCACTGGGGCAGGAGAAAAGGCAGAGCTCGATAGAATGTTAAAAAGAGAAAGTATCAGGGAGACCAGCTGTACAAGGTGAGCTTTAAGAAGGGTTTATGTAAAGTTCCACATGCTTAAAGAGATGTTTTAGTAGAAAGAGCTCGGGACTTGGAGTTAGATCTGGCTTCAAATTCCAGCCCTGTGTATTACTACGTATGCAAATGTGGACCATTAACTCCCTCCTTCTGGGCTTCAGTTTCTTTGTCTGTAAAAATAACAGGCTGGGATTAAATGATCCCTAAAATACACTTCGAGATCTAAATATGCTGATTCGTATGAAAAAGACACAGGGTTTTAGTGACTACAAAGGCAATATGAGGTGACATTGTGATACGATAGCCCCACACCAGTTAACTTAATGTCCATTCATTTGCATTAATAGAAGCCAGAGATTAGAAGAAAGGAGGTGATATCGTATACCCTGGTCAGACCACACTGGAGGTAGGTACAGAGTCACACATTTGGATGTCACATTTTAAGGAGGACGTCGACCAACTGGAATGCATTCAGAGGTTGGGACAGTGCATGGATTGAAAACCCTAGGATGGACTGAAGGGACTAGAGTGGCTCATTGGTTAGACATGGTGTCATAAAGACCTGAGTTCAAATTCTGCTTCAGATACTTAGTTATATGACCCTGAATAAGTCACTGAACTTCTGTTTGCCTGTTTCCTGAATTGTAAAATGGGGATCATAATAGCATCTACCTCACAGAGTTGTTGTGAAGGTCAAATGAGATGGCATGTAAAGAGGGAAGGGAAAGAAAATAAGCATTTATTAAGGACTTACTATATGCCAGGTACTGTGCTAAGCATTTTACAAATATTATCTTATTTGAAGTTCACAACAACCCTGCCAGGTAGATACTAATGGTGTCTCCATTCTAAACTTGAGGAAAATGAAGGAAACTGAAGTTAAGTGACTTGTCCAGGCTCACACAGGTAGGAGGTTCCTGTGGCTGGATTTGAACTCAGGTCATTCTAACTGTAGGCCCACTGTTCTATCCACTGTGCCACTTAGCTGCCTCTGAACCTTAAAAAAGCTTTGCAAACCTTAAAACACTATATAAATGCTAGCTATTACTCTTTGCTATTATGGTTGGCCTGGAGAAGAGAAGACTTTGGGGATGGGGTAGGGGAAAGGGATGCATAGGTTCCCAAAGTGGGCAATACCATCTCCTGGGGGGGGCACTGGAATGATCCAGGGGGGTAGTAATAGCCTTGGGTGCAACTGTGGGGGTGTTGAATAAAAATAAGGGAGCAGAGGAAGCATAAGGAAAGAAGAGAAGAAAATCTTGAAAAACCACTTTTCATCTGTTGTGTAACAGAGTTAAAGTTGTAGTGATTACATTATTTTACAAATAAATGCACAAAATGCAAATTATAACCAATTAGTGGTCAAGTATGCCAGCAGGTCTTAACAAGCAAGTATTGGCAGGTGAGCTTGTCAGAAAGTCCAGCATGCATTGGCAGGAATATGTGTGTCTAATGACTTGTTTACAATATGATACTATACAATTACATGATGCAATATTGCATCGACAAAATCTCAACGCAGGAAAAAACCCACAAATTTTAAATAAATTATTACATTTCAGATGTGTCATTTTAAAAATATATACATATTATTTTTTGAAATCATGCAAAAAATTTTTTAAAATAATTAAAGGGTTAAAGAAAGTAGATTTTCAGGAGAGCACTGAGTAAATTTTTTTTGAAAAGGGGTGGTAGGCCAAATAAGTTTGAGAACCTCTGGGTTAGAGAATTGTTATAAAGATCTTATGGGCTGTCACAGAAAAGAGGCAGCTAGGTGGTTCCATAGTGCACAGAGTGCCAGGCCTGGAGTTCAAATATGGCCTCAGACACTCAGACTCCCCCAAGGGGGTGACCTTGGGAAAGTCACTTAACCCTGTTTGCCTCAGTTTCCCCATCTGTAAAATGAGCTGGAGAAGGAAAATATAAACCTTTCCGATATCTCTGCCAAGAAAACATCAAGTGGGGTCATGAAGAGTCAGACAAGACGGAAACAACTGAACAACAACTGGCACAAAGAGGCATTAGACTTGCTCTGCTTGGCTCTGAAGGACAAGACAAGGGGTTACAAAGAGGCAGATTTGACTTAAACACAAGGGAAATCTTCCTAACAATTAGTGAGATCCTTTCACTGGAAGCCTCCAAACATCCCTTACCATTTGTCAGGGACTCTATGGGTGGGACTCCTGCTTTGGGTGTGGGCTGGGCAGAATGGGCTTTTAGGCTCCTCCCATCTTTGTGGTTCTATGATCCAGAAAGAGGAACTGAGGCCCAAAGAGAGGAAATAATTTACCCATGGTCAAACGTTTTAGTAGGTAGCCAAGCTAGACTTGAACACAGGTTTTTCAAGTGTGAGTTCAAGGTTCCTTCTATTACTTTTGCCTTTTCAGGTATCCTAACCTACCCTCCAACCCTGCCACCTTCAAAGGGCCAAATGAAAAAAATGAAAGACAAAGTCACATGTGAGTCATAAATAGGGATGTGTTGGAGCTGATTGCTAAATTTTCACCGTGAGCATTCACACTTCAAAAATCAACAAGGACAACAAATCAGCGTTTTGATTTATTATTTTTTGACTCTCTGGACTTAAGAAAGTAATGGAGAAAATGTTCACAATGCAGATTACAATTAAAAGTATGTCCTACCTTTTTGGAGAGCCTATTGTTAAACATTTAGCAGCATACCTGTGGCTATATAGCAGGGTAAGCATGCTAAGGGGTGTTATTCCTATTTCCTAAACATTTTCTAGGACTGTCCTTAGTGAGAACACCACCAGTGGGCTCCAAAAAATCCTACATCAGCTTTTGAGAATGCATCTTATTGCAAAACTGTTTGGGTTTTTTCTTTGTGAGGCTGGATGACACTGTGCTTCATGCCCATGAACTAAAGCAACAGCAGTTCTCCCCAGTGCCCAGCTCAAAGACCACCTACCGCAGGCTGAGATGTTGCAGTATTCCCAGGACAGAGTGTTGTCCTTCATGATGTAACACCATGGCTTCTCATCGCTGTCAGGATTTCTGGCACAAGAGAGAAACAATTCAGTGAGGCTGGGGATACCCAGGCTCTTCATCCCCTTAGCCCACTCATCCCTAAAGAAAGGACCAGGAAGGCTAGGGGTTAGAGCTAAACTCCCCCTGTACCAACAAGAACTAGCCATGAGAACCAGGGACCCTGAAGAGGCTTATGGGAAATAACCCCTACATTTTCTATTCAAATGATGAGTCATAGAATGTCATACTCTAGAATGTCATATTCTAATAACTGTATTTCAATATAATTGGCTTCCTTTGTATATCTATGTATTTTATTTTATGCATTTAAAAATACACTGAGAATGCTTCCATAGGCTTCACCAGATTGACCCAGGGGTCCAGGATGCCCAAAAAGGTTAAGAATCTTATAGAAGACAATGTTAGAACACAAAAAATCAAATGCCCAGAAGTCAGAAAGACCTTAGGGCCTAAGAACAAAGAGTGCTAGAAATGGAAAGGACCTTAGAATCTAGGATGTCAGAGCTGGAAGGGACCTTAGAGATCATTTAGTCTAATGCTCTCATTTTACAGAGAAGGAAACTGAGACCCAGGGAGAAGAAGTCATTTGTTCAAGGTCTTACAATGAATGAGTCAAGATCAGAGCCAGGATGAGAATAGCAGGCCAGCCAGCTTTCTTGACAAGGTAGCCTAACCTTGCTTAGTCTGTGGAGTGGTCTCATTGACTCTAGAAAGACTGACACAATTTGATGTTGTTTGGATTTTCCAGTTGCCTCTACAACAGATGCTCTGCCCAGACCAGCGGGAATGACAAAGAACCTGGAGCTTTCAGAGGTCCAGGGAACCAGTAAAGCTGACAAAGTCTTCTCTAAGGATGATGTTACATTGATTATCCCATCTCACTTAATAGTAATTACATTTGTTAGATAAGAGTTCTCCTCCTTCTCTTCTTCTTCTTCTTCTTCTTCTTCTTCTTCTTCTTCTTCTTCTTCTTCTTCT